CGCTGAGGAAATACTTACTCGTATGACGGACTACAGCCATACAATTATGAGCCTGCTATGCTGCCAAGAGAGTAGGGACAGGCCAGGATTAATGTTAGACAGAACGGTCAGAGACACATTGAGTTGTGGTGTGAGGAGAACCAGTGGAGAACAGGACAGGTGTCTTGGTGAGAGACGTGCTTATAGATAGACGTTCGCTAACGATATACACTGTGCTCACAATATTGTACAGATTATTACCATCGTATATCAGGCCAGCAGACATTAGTATGTTTAGGGTAGATGTATACTATTAAATGTATAAAAACTATACTTGAGTATATTTCTATTGTAAGTTACTAAAAACATACTCAAGTACATTTTTAAAACATATTTTTCATCTGGGTTATAACATAAACAGAAAATTAAAGATTTGAATATTTAATCAACCTAGTAATTTTGTTTTTCAATTACAAGTTGCCTCTATTTAGGGCATGACTACCTATATCACACTATTTGATGCCATTGGTAGGCCTACAGTATACGACGATCAATATTCTTGCTTCGGCATCCCATGTTAAACTCCATCATATTGCCGGGATGATAATCCTCCGATCTGAAGTGAACGCTACACACGATCTGAAGTGAACGCTACATACGATCTGAAGTGAAAGCTACACACGACCGCGTTTCTCGAAGCCGATGCGGAAGAGAAATCCCGTCTCTTTACCTGCACAAACCGCACCAGGCACGAAATATATACAGCACTAGGGGTGTAACGGTACACAAAAATCACGGTTCGGTACGTACCTCGGTTTTAAAGTCACGGTTCGGTACGTTTTCGATACAGCAAAAAGTAAGAAATGCCAGAGAAAATTCCTATTTGTTAAAAGAAAAAATATTTTTTAAATAAGTTGAGTTTTCCTACATCTTGAAACTTTCAGGTTTATAAATGGGTGTCATCTTTGAAGGATGAACAAATAATGTTTTGGTCATCACATTAAAAATAACATTTAAATATATGAAGAGTTCAGCCATTTGAAATTTTCTTTATTTTTATCAAGCTTGTATATTTAAGTTCAGTAATTTCACTTAAATGGCAATGAAGATTACCTATTAATTGTCATTTGAGTGAAATTACTGAACTTAAATATACAAGCTTCATAAAAATGATCATTCTAGAAGAAAATTTCAAATGGCACTTAGAGGCTTTTGCATCTGAACTCTTCATATATTTATTTATATAATATTTGAGTTTTGAAGTGCTGGAAAAAGATGTGTGAAGTACTTGAAAGCATTTCACTATTCCAGCCAAACTGGTTACAGTTATGGTGCATGTTGCTGGTCTGTGGACGTAAAGTATTACTAACTTAGTTCATTCACGGCACAATATTTCTCCTGGTGTCCACGTCAGCGCTGTTTGATCCATAGACAGTAAAAGAAATGGACAGAGCGATCTCATTGGAACTCAGTTGAGACAGTTGAAGCCCACTTTTAGCGATTTTTGAGAACTTCCGTTCCTGACGCGCAGACTCAGACCGACTCAAACTAAGCTTGATGACGTGAGCAACCTGTCTGACAGACGTTAATCTTCTAGTAGCTGTGCGTGAAAATTGCTAACGTTAATCTTGCAGAGACGGGGAACTTGAGCAAAGAGTTCTTTGGCGTGAGTGAGCAGGAGTAAGTATTCCGTTGCTTTTATGGACTCATTATCTATGGGCTTCTCCCTTGACGGGACGTCCCCCCGATTGCCTGCGAGCTTCTCCTCCTGTCTGTACGGTCATTTCTGTACAGCGCGACAGAGAGTCGAGTGGTTATGACGCAATCGTTAGCCTATTTTTACTAAATCTGTTTCTACGGGGCCATAATGTAACATAGAAGGTAATGGAGCCCTTTATACATTGTCGTGTTTCTTTAGAAATAAATAATGGACAAATGGAGTCTTTAAACGCCTCAGATCTAAAGTTATTCGCTGTCAAAGTGACGCAGAAATGAATGGGAGTCAATGGAAATGCTAACGCAAGTGAAGTTCTGCTACAACATGGCGGCACCCGGCCGGCTTCAACTTCCGGTCGATGGATTACCCCCTTGGTTTGATCTAATAGAGATCTACGGTTAATAACGGAGAAATGTGAATGCTTCTCACTAGATCTCGCAGCGATGTTATTACTTCAGTGGCGAATTCAAATGTTTTCTTTACTGGATCTTAGCGCTGTGTAGTGACAGTGTCGCTTGATCGAGATCGGCTCGCGCTGCACAGATGTTGCTGGTCCGAACTCCGAACTGATAAACGATCCGTGAAGCACATGAGTAGCGCAGTTTCGTTCCGCTTTCTTTACGCTTGCCATTTGATGTTGCGCAACGTTGTGGTGGTCGCGCGAGCGCGAATTTTGTCGGTAGGAAAAATGGTCCAAGGAATCGTTCGGTTTGTATGCGTACCGAACCGGAAGCCTCGAACCGAAACGGTTCAATACGAATACATGTACCGTTACACCCCTATACAGCACCGTCCTTTTTCTTGTTATGGAAACCTGTGGACTCGATGTCCTGACAGGCCGGAGTTTTTGCAACCTCCACAAACACAATAATTTACCATGACGATGATAGATTGAAATACAAAAACTACCGAAAACACACGGACTCACGGCCGCTCTCACTGAATGCCAGCCTGCTCTGCACTGAGGCGAGGCTGAGGCTCCCTAGCGTGACGTAAAATGACGCGATGTTGGAAAAAAAAGCAGTTTTTACGAGCAGTCCAAGAAACGCTCACTTTATCTACTAAATTAGTGCCCTTATGTCGTTTTAAAACATTTTAAATCCTGCATTACCTTTTCATATAGTATTTTCATACAAGGTTATATATTAATTTAGTTTTTTTTTTTTACCTGCAATATGCTCTTTAAATCCAATCCCATAACACAACATTACACACTATTTTTTCTGCATAGTCTGGCTCTACTTCTGTGTTCAGTAACACTTATGAAGGCCTCCTCACTGGTACTAATATAAATACTTGACAAATGAATGAATCACATTAAAAAAAATGTCTAAGTAACATATGTCAATCAACAATAAACCGCTAAAGTACACCAGGCCGTGGTACTCAACAGCTTTATTAACAACTTCACACTCAGAACCGGCCCACAAAATTGGGAACTGCACCATGCAAACAAATTTTTGGGCGTCTCTGTGCGGTTACTTGATTTGCATAATTCCTTTAGTCAATTGTGTGTTAAACAACATAGCCAGCACATTCAAATAAATAATTATTTAAGCAGCCACAATGTAAGTTAAAGGGATACTCCACCGTTTTTTCATATTAAACTATGTTATTCCCTTAACTAAGACGAGTTGATACATACCTCTCTCGTCTCAGTGCGTGCACTAAATCGCTCTGTCTTGCGGCGAAACTTTGTTAGCACTTAGCTTAGCCCAGTTCATTAATAAGGATCCAAACAGAGAAGCGAACAAACACCTCCACGTTTTCCCTATTTAAAACAGTTACACAAGAAGTGTAACTCGACCAAGTATGGTGACACAAAATAAAACGTGGCGCTTTTCTAAGCGTGTAAAATGGATAACTATAATGTATGGCGGAATACCATAGCAAGTGCTTGGGAGCACTTCGACGCGGTGCAGTAATATCATGATATCATCAATGAGAGGGAGAAGGGGAGAGGATTTTTCAGGAGTGATGATATTACTGCGCCGAGTCGAAGTGCGATTTAGTGCACGCACTGAGACGAGAGAGGTATGCATCAACTCGTCTTAGTTAAGGGAATAACAGTTTAATATGAAAAAAACGGTGGAGTGTTCCTTTAAGGTTTCTTGCATCAAACCAGTCATTTTGTTTAGTTTACATCATTTTTAACCTTCTTTCTGACACTTAGAATTAAACAGGCAACACTGTTTAACTGTCCTTTGAAATATGGTTAAAGTGTATTGCCAAACATATTGACAAGCATTTATGGTAAACTAAAATACACCTCAATGTAATGTTTTTTTTTTTTGCCCAGATGATGAAAGTCAATAGGTTTCTGTGTTGTGTGGACCTCAATGTTCTTTAAAAATATCTTATTTTGTGTTCCAAAGTAGAAAGAAACGCATTGAGAAAAACATGAGGGTGAATAAATGACAACAAAAACTACTATCCTTTTAACAAATAGCACATCCACTCTAGTGGTCTAACTGCACTGGATCATGAACTGATGGTAATCAATAGAGTGAATGATTGATTAGGTCCAGCGCAGAACCCTTGTGTGGAGTAACTCCACTAACATATGAGGTCTGCCCTGAGATGGGTTCAAAATAAACGCAGAAAGTGGATCACTCTCCATCCACTTTGAGGATCAGAGCTGATCTGCTAAAGCAGGTGAGTCAGAGACGAAAATAAAGGTACAAATGAACAAATGCAGATCAGGTCAGAAAATGAAGCGAAGGCTAACACGGTCAGCTGCTCAGAATACATTCGCCTGTCTGTCCTCTAATGAGATCGGCTCCTGCACAGGTAAATGGACTGGGATTAGTGAAAGATCAGACTCTACAGCGACAACTAACTCTCCAGCGAGCAGCGACAGGGTCAATCCTATAACGCAACACAAGAATTGGATGATTTCGCCGCTTCTGTACTGACTGAGCAGAAATAGGCCTCAGTTTTCATTGGTCAAACTAAAACTGTACAGGATTACACAATTTAAATAGTAAATGGTTAAAAGGTTGGATGTGTTTAAAGCTGAACCATGTTTTGAAATTCTTAGCTTATTCTGGTTGGTTAAGAGATAGTATAAAGAGGGAAAAAAGGCAACTTTTAAAAGAGCCTTAAAGAGCCTTTAACTGGCCTACCTTAGTACTGATAGGTCTGGCCTGGTTTCCAAAAAAATCATAGGTTCAAACCTTGTGCACAAATCACTTAACCCCAAGCTGCTCAAGGGGGATTGTGCCTGAAATAAGTGTACTGTAAATTGTTCCAGATTAAATTACCTGCTTAAAGACAAAGACAAAAATGACAGAGAGAGTCTTACCTGAGAGCTCTGCTGAGTTTGTCGTAGTTCATCTGAGGTTTGCACTTGCGGGCGCCCCAAAGCCTTGCCACCTCATCAGGGTCTTTGATCACAAACTCCCCGTAGTCCCCCTGCCAGGCAATCACATCATGATACTCCTCCTTCCTCAGCAGCTCTAGGATAAAGTGCCACAGCTGGATCTGTCTGGAGCCAGGACTGGACTCTGGCTTATAGGCCCAGTCTGGGAACGCAAACCCTGCAGAGAGAAGAGAGATCAGACTCTAGTTGATATGTCCACATGGAAAGTTGAGAAATATTATTCATTGACTAACAAGGCCAATGATCACCCCTTTCAGTGCTGTCATCATCCTCTTCAGCAGGCATGTCCACTATATTGTGCACTCTCAGTCTCTCTATATCGTCACATCTCTTATCATCAATCACTTTGAGGTCAGTTTTAAAGTCACCAGCTACACCACTCTCAATCTAACACAATCTGATGTGTGAAAGCTCTTTGCATTTTTAGAAACAAGAAATGATTTGAAAGGGCAGAAAGAATGGAGGGTGTCTAGTGACTGAGGGTGAGGACGGGTGAAGTGTGGTCAGGCAGGGTCGGTTTAAGTTGAGGCTGCTAAAGGTCAGATAGGGTCACGGCTCACAGTGGTTCCTCCACAGCTGATCCTCTTTACTTTACACTCAGTTTCACACACACAGAAGCCCTTCACACACACACGGAACTGCTCCTGCATGTTTTTTGTTTTTTTACCAGGCAGTTTTGCTTTTTGTTTTTAACTGTCTGAATTTTCACTAATGAAGCTACATTGAGTTTAGCTGCATTTACACCTTCATTCCATCATTTAATTCATTCCTGTATTATAAAATGTATTTTCCGCCATGTCAAAGCTCTGTAAAACAATTCTCATGCATACATTTAAGGCATTTGGGATCATTTTTTATCCAAAGCGACTTAAATTTTATCCGTTCATGCTGTCCTTGGTCTTGGTACGCTCTACAGACTATGGACACTTTTAAAACAATCTTTTTATTAATAATTATCCAAAGCATTTTACTCAACAACTTCTGACAATTTACGGATTCTTAGAAACGGGCGAATCACTTCGTCTCGGTGACTCAACAGATCTAAATTACACACTCAAGTGGTGGTTTTTCCTGTTTTTTACCTGCCAACAACCAGAATTGTTTTTCTTCTACAAGACAGGAATCCAGTTGTGTGTTTTTTACACCTGGACTGACATATCTTTTTACCTTCAGCAAATGAAGAGAAATACATGTATTGTATGACATCCTATAACCTCTACTGGCTCTCAAAACAACACACACACGCACGCACGCACACGCACGCACACACTCTCTCTCTCTCTTAGAGGGTACATCTGATTGCTCCTTTAAGAGGTCAAATGTACCATGCACTAGAGAGCAAAGTCTGACTTCAGGAACTGCAGACAGGGATCTGGTTTCACATCTCTCTCTCTCACACACACACACACACACATGCACACACATGAAAAGGATCCTTACTAAGAAGTTTGAGCTAAATTCAATATGTCTGTCAAACTCCCTGATGAACAATGAAGAGGAGACACCATGAGTCACACACTCACTCACCAGCAGGCACAGATACAGTTACTGCTCTCTCTCAACACATACAAAAAATGTTGTTGATTCACATTCAGATCTACGCATAGATTCACACATATAATTCAACACATCCAGGAGAGTCCTGATTCAGGTGTGATCTGAATGAATCTGCTGTGTGAGTCGACTGATTTCTGTGTGCGTCTCAGAGTGGGCGGCTGTTACATATGCAGAAAAGCTAATGACAGTGAGGTCATGTTTTAGGATAAAAACCTCTTCAGGCACTCTCTGTGTGTGTGTGTGTGTGTGTGTGTGTGTGTGTGTGTGTGTGTGTGTGTGTGTGTGTGTGTGTGTGTGTGTGTGTGTGTGTGTGTGTGTGTGTGTGTGTGTGTGTGTTTAATCATGCTCCTACAGACAATTATAGAAGGTTCCAGCATCAATGCTCTGTAATGGCCCATGTTTCACACCCACATCATATCTCATGGCACCTCTGCATTTCTCAGAAATGCACACCGATACATACATATGTGATACATAAGTACACACACAGATGTACAGTTAGGTCCATATATATTTGGACACAGGCACAATTTTCACACTTTTGGCTCTGTATGCCACCAGAATAAAATTAAAATGAAACAATCAGGATGAATTTGAAGTGCAGACTTTCAGCTTTAATTCAAGAGGTTGAACAAAAATATCAAGTAAACATTTTAGAAACTGCAACCATTTTTATACACAGTCCCCCCATTTTCAGGGGCTCAAATGTAATTGGACAAATTAATATAATCACTAATAAAATGTTTATTTTTAATATTTTGTTGAGAATCCTTTGCAGGCAATGACTGCCTTAAGTCTGGAAGTCATGGACATCACCAAAGACTGGGTTTCCTGCTTTGTGATGCTTTGCCAGGCCTTAACTGCAGCTGTCTTCAGTTGTTGTTTGTTCGTGGGTCTTTCTGCCTTTAGTTTTGCCTTCAGCAAGTGAAAAGCATGTTCGATCGGGTTGAGATCAGGTGATTGACTCGGCCATTGCAAAATTTTCCACTTCTTTTCCTTAAAAAACTCCTGGGTTGCTTTTGCGGTGTGTTTTGGATCATTGTCCATCTGTACCGTGAAGCGCCTTCCAATCAACTTTGCTGCATTTGGCTGAATCTGGGCAGACAGTATATTCCTATACACTTCAGAATTCATCCGGCCGCTTCTGTCTTCTGTCACATCATCAATAAACACCAGTGATCCAGTTCCACTGGAAGCCATGCATGCCCATGCCATCACACTGCCTCCACCATGTTTTACAGATGACGTTGTATGCTTTGGATCATGAGCTGTTCCAAGCCTTCTCCATACTTTTTTCTTACCGTCATTTTGGTACAGGTTGATCTTAGTTTCATCCGTCCAAAGAATGCTTTTCCAGAACTGGTCAGGCTTTTTTAGATGTTTTTTTGGCATAGTCTAATCTGACCTTTCTATTCTTGATGCTTATGAATGGTTTGCACCTTGTGGTGAACCCTCTGTATTTGCTCTCGTGAAGTCTTCGCTTGATTGTAGACTTTGACAATGACACGCCTACCTCCTGGAGAGTGTCCTTCACTTGGCTGGATGCTGTGAATGGGTTTTTCTTTATCATGGAGAGGATCCTGCGATCATCTACCACTGTTGTCTTCCGTGGACGTCCAGGCCTTTTTATGTTGCTGAGCTCACCAGTGCATTCTTTTTTTCTCAGAATGTACCAAACTGTTGATTTGGCCACTCCTAATATTCCAGCTATCTCTCGGATGGATTTATTTTGTTTTTGAAGCCTAATGATGGCCTGTTTGACTTGCATGGAGAGCTCCTTTGAACGCATGATGTAGGTTCACAGCAATAGATTCCAAATGCAAATACCACTCTTAGAATCAACTTCAGACCTGTTACCTGCTTAATTGATAAAGAAATAACGAAGCAATAGCCCACACCTGTCCAAGAAACCACTTTTGATTCAATTGTCCAATTACTTTTGGTCCCTTGAAAAAGGGGGGTGGCTACTCTCAAGAGCTGTAATTCCTAAACCCTTCCTCCAATTTGGATTTAAATACTCTCAAATTAAACCTGAGAGTGTGCACTTTCAGCCCATATCCATTATATAACTATAGCTTGAATATGTTTTGGTAAATATCTGAAAAAAAAAAAATTGTGCCTGTGTCCAAATATATATGGACCTAACTGTATGTGCACATTGCAACAGTTCAAAAAGGTTGGGGTCAGTAAGATTTAAAAAAATAAAAAAATAAATTATGTTTTTGAAGGAAGTCTCTTATGTTAATCTAGGGTGCCTTTATCTGATAAAAAAAAACCCTGAAAAAAACAGTAATATTGTTAAATATGAATACAATTTAAAATAACCATTTTCTGTTTTATCATTTAATTTTTTCTTTTTTCTCTAATGGCAAAGCTACATTTTTAGCATCATTACTCCAGTTTTCAGTGTCACGTGATCCTTCATAAATCATTCTAATATGCTGATTTCTGCTCAAGAAACATTTCTTCTACTTATTATTATTAGTTGAAAATGGTTGTGCTGCTTAAATTGTGGAAGGTGAGGAATTTATTTCAGCTTTTATCTTAAATAGAAATCTTTCGTAAATATATTCTGTGTTAATGGATAAATTAAATTTGAGTAAAAAAGCATGTGTAATTAATTGAAATCATCAACCAAATACACCGTGACATCATTTTATTAAGGTTTTAGGGTCCAATGAAATCCACATGAAAGGTTTTATTGGTAACACTTTAGTTTAGGGTCCAATTCTCACTATTAACTAGTTGCTTATTAGCATGCATATTACTAGGATATTGGCTGTTCATTAGTACTTATAAAGCACATATTAATGCCTTTGTCTGCATGACCATATTCTGCTTCCCTTAATCCTTCCCAATACCTACTATTAATAAGCAGTAATTAGGAGTTTATTGAGGCAAAAGCCGTAGTTAATAGTTAATAGTGAGAATTGGACCCTAAACTAAAGTGTAATTTAGTGTGAAAAAGTTTTATTTCATCAGGAATTCTGTGTTGATTTATGATTTATTAAAAATTTACATGAAATGGTGAAATGCTTGTGAAGTGAAGCACTGGAGATGTTTATGCCCGGTGTGAGATGCTGAAAACACCACAAGTGTCACGCATGCTTGAGTATGTATAGTAATAACCTAGTATAAGACAAATTTTGTTCTGGGAAAATGAAATGCTGCATCAGAACAACCTTAAACTTAGTTGTTGTCAGTCAGTGCGAGTCTTATTTTCTGTGGATGTGCACTATGAAGAGATTTGTGAAGATTTTGTTCCCTTTAAATCTGGAGTTTATGGGTGTATTCACACCAGGAAAGTCCGATAGTTCACTTGCTTTGGTCCGGACCAAATAATTTTTTTTTTTTTTTGGTACGGTTCGCTTTCACACAGCTCTTTTTGCAAGTGAACCAAAATTTGTACACAAAACCACATGTGTGCTAAGGTCGTCCATTCATTGGACAAGGATTCTCAAGTAGGGAAATCAGGAAGTGCAAAAAAGGCTCAGCATGGAGATATTTCGTACTGCAATATTTGTTGTTTTACTAATTTTGTGTTATTCTGTACAAACGCAATATGAAGAAACTGCGCAGAAGACGGATAAGGTATAAAGT